TAAATGATTAAATAAGTACGCGGTTATAAGTATGGGTAACCGTTGAATAAACTCCTTATGCACTGCATCATAAACGGTTATAGGTATGGGTATTAACATTTATGCAATTACCCTAAACGGTTATGTGGGTAATTGCATATGCTTTCCTTCTTTTTAATGAATACTTAATTGTAACAAAATCACACAAGCTGAAGATATAGCATAATAATTACAATTTAAGAATCATCAGTGAAGCATTTGATGCATCCTTATTGTCATTCCCCTTCAAGTACAGGTGATAGGAGCATATATATGCGACTTAGTTAGCTTGTTTTCTTGCATTTTCATAGCTAGTTTCTACTTCTTATAGTGTTTTAAGCTATTTTCGTGTGTTTTCAGGTTCATATGACAAAGTTGGCAAGAAAGTGCAATTTGGAGCAGTTTTGGGCCAAGAATGGATAGCATATGCATGGAGCAAGGTGGATGGACGTTTTTGAAGTTCAAGAGGCTAGGAATATGCTGAAGAGATGAAGAAAATAAATTCAAGACAAAGAAGATAAGGAATCAGCTAAAAGGAAGGAACATTATCCAAAACGTTATCCAACCTTATCTTATCCAAACTAATCTTATCTTATCCTATCATATCCTAATCTTATCCTACCTTAATTCCAGCTACAAGGGGGACTCCTTACCACATTAGAATACCTAATATCTGATTCTAGAAGCCCTGAAATAATGCAAATAACCTGATCCTTCTTCCCCCTAGAAATCTAACGAATTTCCTACTCCATTTCATCCTAGGATTGTGTAATCCTTTTTCCTTCACAAATTGTGCAAACCCTAGCATATAAATACATCATTATGCCGCACAAATCAGATACCACCCTCTACCATATATTTCTACACCACGCACTCATATATTCAGATACAATTGAGAGTTTCAAAGGTGTGCTTGCAAGGAAGGAAGGAAGGAGCTTTGTGCTGTGGCTTGCAACCTAAGGAGGTTCGAAATCTGCCATTGGAGTTGCTGGGATGTTCCTGGTTCTTTCTATTATTAGATTTATTTCAATGTTTCTTTTAATTTGGTTTTATGTTTTCAAAGACATGAGGAACTAATTTCTTTTTAGTTGGAGGTGAATTCGAAGCCATGATTATATGCTTTATATGAATTGATTACATCCAGTTATTGTTTCTTGAGTTTTGAATGTGATTTGCTTATCTGAGTTATTAAAACTTGTTTATGTATGTTGATTGAGGATGCATACTTAGTTTGCATGCATAAACTTGATGCTAGAGTATAAGGGAGTTTCACCTAATCGTTATGAACTTATATTCACAAGTAGTGGAAGTCATTAGTCATGATTGTGTTAAGTAAATCCTAGGCAGAAGTATCATGATTTTCATAGTTACGAATGTCTCGTCAATGCTTATGGTTTTCAAAGAACTTAATGACCTTTGATATGTCTTTCTATCATGCTTTTCATATTTAGGGAACTTGATAAGGATAATTTGGTTGTGATGCATATCCCGTCCAATTCAATGAGTTAAGGAAAATCTGATGGTTAATTTGTGTTGTCACGGTTAACTTGGGGTATTGTCATTCATGGTCCAAGGGAACAATACTGGAAATTGGTTGATATGCATATGTCATGTGTGGAGAAGGATCCTCTGGCTAAGTTTTCACCATTCAAATCACCTAATTTACTTTGTTTTGCAATCTGTTTAAGTTTAGTTAAATTTCATCAAAATCAATCCCCCTTTTAATTAAGTGTCTTAGATTAGTTAGAAAAGTGTTTAAATCTGTCCAATTTAGCGTTTTGAGTTTTACTAGTCTTAAATTTGTCCAAATAGCTCTCTAGAGTCTGTTGTGAGTCTTTTTAACTTAGTTTTGCTGTTTTGAGTTAGTTTTGAGTCTATAGAGTCTAGTTTAGTGTTTTTGAGTCTTATTTATGTTGATTAGCAGCCCTTCTAATCCCCGGCCTAAAACCATCCCTACTTTCATATACTACAATCATAGGGTTTTAATTTGCGGGTAATTGCATATGCTTTCCTTCTTTTTAATGAATACTTAATTGTAACAAAATCACACAAATTGAAAATATAACATAATAATTACAATTTAAGAATCATCAGTGAAGCATTTTATGCATTCTTATTGTCATTCCCCTTCAAGTACGGGTGACTGCCTTCGTTGGGATCTAAAAAGGCCTTGAACTCTTTACCAAGAAAGGTATACAGTCTCATGCAAAGGAGTCATAATGGCAAGGGTGTAAACAACAACTTTGCTTTTTTTTTTTTTTTTCAAATGTCTTTGCAAGGAGTCATAGTGCCAAAGGAAGAACTTAATCTCAAGGTCGGTAGCAGAGATTAGTCGCCCCTATGCCCTAGTGACTCTCTCCATCATTCAAAACTTGGCACCCTTAGTTTGGAAATAAGAGTTGAACATTAAACTACATATGAATGGTAGTGAAAGTGAAACCTATTGTGCTTAGTAACTGCCATTTTGAAATTGAAGTAAGATGATCTAAAACTGATTAATCTTGAAGGTAAGAGATCATGTATTAACCAAAAAAAACCTACGCACCTGTAATTTTTTGCAATTTCCCTCATGAATGTATTCGTCTCTAATCTTCTAGTCATTTCAATTTGTCCTTGAGATATTGCAGAAAAGCTTTGGTTCCTAGATCTAAAACCGTCCTCCACCTGTCAAGTACAAATCCATACAATGAGAAGGTCAATGATGCGTAGGATAAGCAAGGAATTTAGAACTCATGTAATCATAAAAATGAAGTATATTCAACAGGTATCATTCTATTATCAAGGGATTGACTCTACAGTAGAAAATTTGACCGATTAGCACGCGAGTAGACAAAGTGTTATGCCTCACTGACATTTTTTCTTTTATTCTATAAATAAAGGAATTGATAGCAAAAGACTATCTAGGGTGCATCACTGTAAGAACTCAAAGCAATTTTGAGCTTGGGATCAGGCCCCAAGTTGTGTAAATCCTAAAAGGTGTAATTTTACCTTGCATTTCCATCAACTGTAATTATCCAAAACATGACCATTTAGAATAAATTAATTAAAAACAAAATCATGGAGATGAGGAAAAATGAAAAGTGATGAAACTATGTTACCTAAAACAGAAAAAGGATAGACTCAATTGTTTCTCTTCCCTCTTCTTCTGCTATAGCACCGCTACTGTCCTTACTTTAATGAATACTCAAGCAACAACTCAGCTACATAAATATTAAGCTAAATTAGCAGAATATGATAATCCACATTTGAGCATTTTGCTTTAAGTCATACAGTACAAAAAATTAAGCTTAAAGTACAAAACAATGAATCACCAAGTAAATCAGAAAGCAAAAAACCCACATTCAAAAGAATCCAGAAGCTAAAATGATAGAAAGAAGGGGTATTTATATGTATTTGTCATTGTTGCAATCCATTTTTTGGAGCAGCAACAGTAGCAGTAGTAGTAACTCAGTTGTCGTTGCCCAAATGCCAGACCCTCTTTGCCTTTTCTCTTTACACATGAGACTCTTTATCTTGGGTTAAGAATCAAATTGAAAAACCCATCTGCCATATTAAAGAAGGAGAGCAAGGAATTGACTCTTTGGATAATTGAGAACAAATAGACGGAGAAAACTTGAAAAATATGGAGATAAACCAAAAAATCAAACATGAGAATCAAATGGCTTACCAACTGGGTCGAGAATCAAATGGCTTACCAAGAAAGATTGCAACAAATAAAGTGAGTCGAAAACCTCGTGTATATATAAGAAAAACTTGCATAAACACAAAGAAATTGTATTGAACAAAGTCGGATTTAGGGCAAACGTGAAACTCCTCAAAACTGACGACAGTCTACCCGCATCTCCAGCCGTTGTCAATGAATAAGATCATCATCCATCTTGATCCTTCTTCTCTCCAATGATATTAGAGGTTTTTAATTTCATCTGCAGTTAAATGAGTGCGTATGCAGCATGTCACATCCCCGCCCAGGCCCCCACTACATCCCGGGCTCGACTCCACAGTAGCACGATATTGTCCGTTTTGGGCCCTGACCATGCCCTCACGGTTTTGTTTCTGGGAACTCACACGAGAACTTCCCAATGTGTCACCCATCATGGGAGTGCTATCGTGCGCTACTTACTTAATTTCCGAGTTCTGATGAACTTCGAAGCCAGTGAGCTCCCAAAAGGCCTCGGGCTAAGTAGGGATGGGAATATACATATAAGAATCACTCCTCTAGCGATGTGGGATCTTACAATCCACCCCTCCTTAGGGGCCCGACGTCCTCGTCGGCACACCACAACCAGGGTTACGCTTTGATACCAAATTGTCACATCCCGACCCAGGCCTTCACCACATTCCGGGCTCGACTCCACCGTAGCACGATATTGTCTGTTTTGGGCCCCGACCACGCCCTCACGGTTTTGTTTATGGGAATTCACACGAGAACTTCCCAATGGGTCACCTATCATGGGAGTGCTCTTGTGTGCTAATCGCTTAACTTCCGAGTTCTAATGAACTCCGAAGCCAGTGAGCTCCCAAAAGGCCTCGTGCTAGGTAGGGATGAGAATATACATATAAGGATCACTCACCTGGGCGATGTGGGATCTTACACAACATTTATATGGGTTTGAGGGGTTTCCTTCACGTTCACGTTCGTGTTTCCGTATTTTCTTTTTAATTTATTTTTTATTTACTGGTTTTCTGCTTATTTTTTATCCATATTCCTAACAGTAAATCAATGGAGTTAAATTTTTTTGTTTGAGGGGTGTTTTTGTACAAATATTTTTGGTGAAGGCTTGAGACACCAAAGCGAGCTTCTGGCTTTCTAATATTAGAGATTTCTACTCCATTTTTTTAGCTAATTAAAAATTTCTTTCCTAACTTTATGTTTTATTTTGCTATTTTGGGTTTGAGAAGGAGAAGAACAGTACATTTGGACCTATTGGGTATCAAATTGGGCTTTAGACGATTGGCCTGGTACGTTAGACCCGTAGGCTTAGCATACAACAAGCCGCGGAGAAACTGAGAAGGAGAGAGGAGAGAGAAAGTGAGCCTGCTTCTGAAACCCTCAATATCCCTGCGATAATCTCACCCAGCGGTGACGCACAGCAGCAGTAACCCATCACCATGAGCCGCTACGACAGCCGCTCCGGCGACTCCACTTCCTACCGTGACCGGAGAAGGTAACAACGATAAGTATGCAGTTTATGAATATAATTTGTTTTACGGTTGGCTTACCTTGTATAAACGAATTCGGTAGAACCAAAATGAACAGTAATTTCAATATTTACTGCCTTCAAATCCATTGTTCTTGTTTTATTTGCCTGAATTTCATTGTTTTCTGAGTTTCCCTTTGTTGATTGTGCTGAATTGTTGCTCTATTTGCATTGATTGTGTTTCTCCAGTGGGCCCAACTCAAAAACTTATTAATTTTGGATAATTTGATATGCTGGTTTTTTAATATTGACCCATGAATGAAAAACTGGCTCTTTTCATTGACTTGTAGGAATTTGCTAAAGCTTTTGTGAATTTTGTGGTGTTTTAGCGATTCCGGATTTGGTGGGGCGACCGGCTTCGGTGGCTCAGCACGGTCTTCGTCAAGCAGGAGGGATGATGATGGTGCTAAGTCACCAAGGAAATTTGATTTGGATGGATTGATACCTTTTGAGAAGAATTTCTATGTTGAGTCCTCTCAAGTGGAAAAAATGTCGGAGGTGGAGATGGAGGAATATAGAAAACGGAGGGAAATTACTGTTGAAGGCCGTGATGTTCCAAAGCCCATCAAGAGTTTCCGTGACACTGGGTTTCCAGGTACTTTTTCTTTTTTCATACAGCAAATTTATAACTGTGTTTTGAGTTGTCAAGTGGATTTATCGTGAGTACAGAGTACATGTTATACAAGTTTTTTAATGTTTAGTCATCCTGAAGATCTTTGTGATTAAAAGATACGGTAACTTCGTTGGAGAACTGTTGACACTGTACTTTCAAATTATCAGTATTATAGGTGCTAGTTCTGTCTGTGTTACATTATTATCTCACCAACGTTTTCATGTACACAATGATCTCAAATGTGTTACATGCTCACTTGGTTAATTAGTCGTTCTTGGAAACTAGTTTAATTACTCATGGTTCCTCTTGGGTTGCAGAATACGTTTTGGAACAAGTTACAAGGGCTGGATTTGTGGAACCTACACCAATTCAAGCTCAAGGATGGCCAATGGCTTTGAAGGGTCGCGATCTCATTGGTATTGCTGAAACAGGATCAGGGAAGACACTAGCCTACCTGTTGCCTGCAATTCTCCATGTCAATGCCCAGCCAATTCTGTGTATGTAATCACTAAGATAATTAAATTCTTGAATCTTGATTAAATTCTTTACTCTCGATTGAATTTCTTTTTAACTTTTGACTTATATTTTGCATTTGTTAAGCATAAATATCTGATAATATAATATTTATGTAGCTCCTGGAGATGGCCCGATAGTACTAGTTTTAGCTCCAACCCGTGAACTTGCTGTTCAAATCCAACAAGAGGCCACTAAATTTGGTTCATCATCAAAAATTAAAAGCACATGCATATATGGCGGGGTTCCAAAGGGTCCTCAAGTTCGTGATCTGCAGAAAGGTACGTGGTGGTGGTGAACTTAGTTTGACATGGTATCGCTATTATACTAATGTAATTTGTGTGTTTCATGTTTTATGTACTCGATAGCCTGTTATAGGTATTCAAAATGGATAAGATGACTTATCAATCAGTTGTTATAGGTGTTAGGTGTTAAATAAAGCTGTTGTTTTAGTAATTTAGTTGTTGATGTCATTCTTATTTTTGGATCAGGAGTTGAGATTGTAATTGCTACACCCGGGAGGTTGATTGATATGATAGAGTCGCATCATACCAACTTGCGAAGGGTCACGTACCTTGTGCTGGATGAGGCCGATCGGATGCTAGACATGGGGTTTGAACCTCAGATAAGGAAAATCGTTTCTCAGGTTTGAGATTTTACCAATCTGTGTGAAGTGAATTAGAACATGTAGTGCTTTTATCTGTGTACAAGTATGATTTATTATTTTGTTTTCCCTCCCCTTGCCAAAGCCCTTTTTTTATCTCTCTCTTTCTAAAATCTTACTTAGTTTTGATACCTGCTGATGTTATTGTGGACTTCTGATTTCTTGAAAAGCTGGAAAGCATTAGTGATGTATTTAAAGTCTACAACATAGCTTAGAAGATCTTGAGCAGTCCTAAAGTCATTACTCTTGGTTCCTAAATTCCAAAATGTCTCGATTTGTTAGACAAATGATTCTAAACTCTGTAATCTGGATAAGGCTTGTTTAATTACTTATAGAAAGTTATGGGTCATTCAAAGTTATCCATATGATACCGAAGATCTTCAAACAGGTCACAAAGTGATAGAATAAGAATTAACAGCATGGCAGTGTCAATATCTTGGTGAACAGATAGGGTGTGTTGTGTGAATGTATTTGCTTCTGTGTGGTAGCAGAGGGGTGTATGTATTTTTTTGCATGCTTTCTCTTCCCCAATCTTTATGTTTGGTTGTCACGCTTTCAAAGATACAATTCCTTTTAGGATGTCTTTTCATTTGTTATCTGTTTCAAAAAGGACTTGGGTGATATGTATGTGCTGAACTTTAATGAGATACCATTTGTATCTTTTATTACATTTCCAGCAACCAAAATAAATGCCATAGAAAAATATGATGCCTCAAATGATAATGATGGAGATGATTATTTTCATTGTTTTAATCATATTTTAAGAAGTCTTGTTACCATTACACATGTTGAAAAATTTCTGGTGAATACATTTCAAGCACTTTTCAATAAACAGCACATGGAGTATCTATAGGTTGATTTGTAACAGAACAGTTGAGGATTTTGTGTTTCTCATTTCTCCTGAGCTGTTGGACATCACAAAACAACATTAAGTGTGTGTTTTTATTTTATTTTTTATAATCCTGTATTGTAACACACTAGTGTACTGGGAAGCTTCTGGATCTACTACTTATTCTAGTGGCTTGTAGTAAGTTGTTAGAGTATGACGTACATGGAAAGTATTATGATGATGTAGGTACATGTAAGTCAATCCCAATTAGGCAGGTCAAATCTTTTTTGCATAAAAAGGTGCATCAAGAAAGTCTATAAAAACGAGCGAAATGAATTTTCCCCCTGCATCTCTCTCTCTCATAGCTTATGTTCGGTTGGAATTTGCTGTTATACTCAAATGTTTCATATAATGCAGATTCGCCCAGACCGTCAAACATTATACTGGAGTGCTACCTGGCCAAAGGAGGTTGAACAACTGGCTAGGCAGTTCCTTTACAATCCATACAAAGTACTCCATCTTTCATTTAGTAGAAAAGCGTTATGCATCTATTAGGACGGTCTTCAATTTTTAGTGTCAGTTTGTCATCGTCAATTATTGATACTGCATGAAATTGGCATTAATAAAATGCGCTTTTTCTATCATATGGTTGCAATAGTTCTTATCATATATATCATCATATTGATATGCCAACAACTAATTTACATTTTTTGGATGTTGAACAGGTGATAATAGGTTCTCCAAATTTGAAAGCTAACCATTCGATCCACCAAATTGTTGACATCATTACTGAAAATCAGAAATATAACAAGTAGGGTGCTATCTATGTTTTGGTTTGTAACTTTCAAACGGTTGGTCCCGTCATACTGTCTGCAGGTTACCTTTCTGATTTCTTTCAATTTTCCAGATTGGTAAAGTTGCTAGAGGATATTATGGATGGCAGCAGAATACTGATATTCATGGATACTAAGAAAGGATGTGATCAGATCACTCGGCAGCTCCGCATGGATGGATGGCCTGCTCTTTCGATTCATGGTGACAAAAGTCAAGCAGAAAGAGATTGGGTCCTCTCCGAGTTTAAAGATGGCAAGAGCCCCATAATGACTGCAACTGATGTTGCTGCTCGTGGTCTAGGTATGGAAAGAATTTATTTTAAGCTTGTGAAAAGACTTGAAAGAAATTCTTATTTGGTTAACTGTTATTTGCATTATCATCATACAGTTGAAGACTTCATAGCGTTGATTGTCTAAGGCCGGGACACCATTTGATTTTACCCCTTCCTATGTTCTATCTTTTGTCTATATGACATTTTTGTTTATCAGCCATTATTTTTTCATTACTTATCTACTAAAAGATGATATTCTTCCCAACTCTTTTTTCAATTTCTTTCCCAACTTTCCCATGTGGAATGAGACCTACCCCAAAAAGGAGAATACTATTTTTCTGATTATTAAGGCTATTAATACATATTTGAAGCATCTGTACCAAATTTTAGACTATGATTCAACTGGAACAAATATGTATTACACAGTAGTTTATTTGAATCTATTACCTTCCACATTTGGCTGGATGGTACTAATTTTGGGTTTCATATGGAAGCCTACACTTCATCCTCTAAGGTCTTCGTGGTAATCATCTCTACCTGTGAATAATTGTTTCCCTTTGAGCCAGGTAAGGTTTTGGCGTGCATCGGATTTGCCTTTGGGATTTGGTAGGCAAAAACTGCTAACTTTGGGGTGCATAGGTGTGTTAATCTAGCAGACTTTCTTGAATGTACTTAGCCTATGAATTGGCCTACATTCTCGTTTCTAATCTCCCTTTGTGATGTTTGATTTCGTTGCAGATGTTAAGGATGTGAAATTTGTTATAAACTATGATTTTCCTGGATCCCTCGAAGATTATGTTCACCGCATTGGCCGAACTGGAAGAGCTGGGGCCAAAGGAACAGCATACACGTTCTTTACAGCTGCTAATGCTAGATTTGCAAAGGAACTTATTGCCTTGCTTGAGGAAGCTGGACAGAAGGTCAGTCCTGAGTTGGCAGCAATGGGTCGTGGTGCACCACCTCCCCCCTCAGGTCAGTTAGTCTGGACGCCCTAAGATGTGGGTGTATGTCCTTGCATACGCCTTTAGATGCTTGTGTCAGCTTTAATGTGTTGGTGTGCGTAATGTGGACATGAATGAGCAAACCTTTTGTCTTGATGTGTTAGATAAAGATCACTGAAATTGTATTGTTGTCATTTGTAATTGATCAGGTCACGGGGTTTTTCGAGATCGTGGTAGGGGTTATGGAGGCGGTCGTCCTTGGAACTGATTAATGATGGTGCACTTGAACTTGACGTCCATACAGAGAGCAAAACTGATCAATCGAATATGTCCAATGTATTCTGTTCACAAAACAGAAAAAGCTTTGTATGAATACTGACTAGGATGTGTGGGAGTACAAACATGTTATGTTTATTGGAACTAATAGAAAGTTTAGAGTTCGTTTACTCTCAGATTCCGGGTTTTGGATCCATAGCTAAAATTGTTATTCTTTGTGACGTGGATGTGAAAAATTAGGGTTGGCAAAACACCTGGGATTGCATTTATAGCAAGAGAATCATGTGATATTGGTTCATAGCTTCAGTTGATGCATATAATATCATACCTGAAGACACCATCACAACTTGAAACAATGAAACATCTTCGGCTCACCATGAACCTTATGCTCTCACTACTAATAGGGCTAGTAAACTTCAGAACGTGTTTTCTCAAGAGCATGGAGCAATCTATATAGATGCTAAAACAAACGACTTTCACCATACAAGCAAGGATAGAAAATGCCTCATCAGACTGCATCACATTCGGGAGCTCAATGATGATGAACTTTGCAAAGAGGAGATCGATTTCTTGTTACAGTTAGAATTGATCAGACCCTCCAGGTCTCCTTGGGCAAGTCAAGCGTTCTAGGTCAACAAGCATTTAGAAAAAGTTAGGGGAAAAGAAACTAGTTGTTGATTATAAGAAGCTTAATTGTTGTCTCCAAGACATAATGTATTCTATTCCTTGAAGAGATTAACTTCTGAAGAAGATGACCAAAGCAAAAATCGTCTTAAATTTTGACATGAAGTCAGGATTTTGCAAATTGGAATTTCTGAAGAAGATAAATACAAGACAAAATGTCTATGATTGCTTGAATCTTCAAATTGATTTACAGGTTGTCCACTCGTGCCAATCATTCTAGAATTCTGGATTGTCTGACAGATGATCCAAGTGTGTTGGAGCTTCTTGGGCAATGTTTTGCCCAGTGGCCTTGCTTTCCACATAAGAAGCATTATTTGGACTTAAGAAGAGTGTTGGAACCAAATATGTGCACCTCCGTGCGCAGTGGTTGAACACAAATCTATGTAGTCTAAAGCAACTTGCAAAATAGTGAAACAACAGTAAATAAACCTTCGGCCCAGGGGGGGTGTGCCAGCCAAAGGCTCTTCGACGGTCAAGTTAGTTGATTTTAGACTCAAGCAGTGGGTAAGAGAATTCAAGTGAATAGATTATGTTACCATCGATGAACCCTAGACGGGTGTATTTATACCATGGGAGAGAGACAATTTTAGGATAGAAATCCTTGTTCTAAGCCGGCAGAAACCTTGAGGATATCTACTAAGTAGATATTGCATCCTCTCAGGAGTGTGATTACATGTGGCGTATGCCTATCCCTAGATTGTAAAGACTCCAAGACTTAGGATTTGATTGAGTCCATATCTAGATCAAATTGCGTGCCTTGCATAGTCATCCAACAAAGTCGCTTGGACTCCACCTATTTCTCCAGAGTAGAGTGATGGTGGCACCCTGCTCCGTCTAATACAACTTTTCCCGAAGCTGGTGAGTCCATGACTTCGTTAGATACAACTCCGCCCGGAGCTGGTGAGTTCATGACCAAACTTTCGAGATAGTAGTATTTGGATCATCCTTACTCCGGCCTTGGAAAATCATGGTCCCACAAATGCCTTTAACTATCCAACTGAGAGGCAACCTATTCCCTTCGAAGATGGATTGTTACCAAAGACCATGCCTTTTGGAGTAAGCTGAAATACGGACCGTTTGGTCTTCACACTCTTTGCAGTCGTGTCCGAATTATCATTAAGGCCAGGTAGTTGAGTCTCTTCGATTTCCATCGCATAATCTTTGGAATTGCAAAAAAGATCCACTGCCATGATGATGAATGCCTTCGTTTTTTACGGTTACTTTTTCCATGCGTTTTATTGATTAATCCTCAATCTTCGTGTATATAATCCTCGAGATACACGTTCTTTTGCTTCCAACGGTGGGGTTTCCTAATGATCTCCCTTTAGATAGCCTTACCAAGTAGCAATTTCCTTCAAACCCTTCTCATTTTCTGCCATGATGCCTGTGTCTTCCTTGCTTATCCTTAATCCTTTTCTGAGTTTTTTTGTTTAAACACTCACCCATAAGCCACTCATGTGGCCCTAGTATTTGGAATTTCATTAGGTTGCCCTGCCACTCATTATCTTCTCGCCAGACACCTTGTGCATAACATGTATTGACGTTTGGTCCTTTCGAGGCGATGGGGTTTCCTTGTGAACTCTTCGTCTCTAGGCTTCTCCATCTCTTCCACACATGAACGACGATGGTGGCGGACCTTCGTCAAAATATTGGCCCTCAATGTAGTATAGTGCCTGGTATGCAGCTAAATGAGCGTAGCAGATTGCTGATTCAACAACAACACCTGATGACATTGATCTAGAGTCTTATGTAGTCATTTTCAAATACTTTATTGCCAGAGGTGAGGGTCTGTCTCCCCCAAACTGATGTACTGAGTTGATCTTTTTTGAGAATTTTGATAATAGACATGTGCTTGCGTAAAGATTTATCTCTATCATAAATCTTCTTTGTGTGAAATTCTCAATCTGATAAATGTTTCCAAAGTAAGCAAACTTTAAAGAATATAATAAACAACGGAACGGAATGCGAGTAAGTTTGTAAGCCCGAGACATAGTTTTTAGTGAAAAATCCGCGTAGTAATATTGATTTGGAGAAATATTCCTAAACTAGCATCCACAAAAGATTCTCATCGAGATAGCTGGAGTACCACCTTACTCCGATACCAGGAATGCAATCATTTGGACCCGTGAGGAATCCTTTACATCGAACTTATTCATTTATTTATTGGACTTGAGAGAATTGCCTTATTCTCGGAGTAACCTGCAAGGAATAAGATAACAAATATTTGTGCAATATTTTGCCCCGTTTCGGAGTGAAGATCTTCAATATGTGCAACGTAGTCCGGGAATGAGTTTTCCAAACTGGATTGCATGTCTGCTCCCAATGAATCTTAAGCGAAAGTTCTTTGGGGCATGATCATTAGCATATGGGTCGGAAACACTTTTTGAATCCTTTGTTGGACCCTATGCGCCTGATCTGAGCGTTTTCGATCAAACTACCTAAGTTGGCTTGACAAAAGTATTTCCACGTATCAGAGCTCTGTTGGAATAAATTCCTCTTGGAGATTACCTAGTTTGGATGCCCCATTCGGATCTACTAACACTTGATGTTGTAAATCTTACTTACACTTGATGTTGCAAAGCTTACTTGACTTAGTAAGTTGGTCCAGGATAGAAGTAATCCTACTCGAGGTAGAATTTTAGAGCCACCTTCGGATTAGTTCTGGATCACCCTTTTAACTATTCCCTCAAATGGCGTAGACCCCGAGTTTGAATGTTATAACCCGCAACCTTGCTGGTTGCATAAACTTTCCGGTGGTCGGAGGGTGCATTGGACTTCCAGGTCAATGAGCCATATGCTAGTGCCCATAGCTCACCAATTGTTATCGTGCTTATTACGATTCGAGTCTCCCAAGCTGCTAACTGTTCTAGACGGAATGGGTTAAGGGAGGCTCCTCTGACAGTGTAACTTTGAACATTTTTAGACTTGCATTATTGCAAAGTATTCAAAGTTTAGGCCCCGTTTTGAACGAGTAGGGTACTCCCTGCATTGCCAAAAAAAATAAAGAAAGAACACATATTTAAGACAAACATATGCCTTTTATTCATGATCCAAGTAATGTTGGTTTACATGGGGTGTGATTGAATCTGAGAATGATTGCCTACGTATCTCCTAGACAAAGAATCAAATCACTGGTGTAATTCTAATGAAAAGATGATATGACATAAAATTTAAGGCTAATCTCATTTTACTATCCTGAAGTTTTTTGGTTTTCAATATTTGGTACATGAAGTTTTTTACATCCTAGAGTGGTACCTAAAGTCATAGTTTTAGGATACTTTCAGACATCCGTTAATGTTGCTATTCAATCAGCCGTTAACTGGTGATGTGGCCCTCACATGGATAATGACTGGGCCCCACATGTCAATATGGGCCACGTGGATATTAAAAAATTTTAAAATTTAAAAAAATTAAAAACCTGTCGTCCTCTCCTACCTCATCCTAAGCTCCCACCCAACCCTCCATCATTCTCTCCTCTATGCCCACCAATGAAGGAAATTTTGTGAAAAACATGTTCATTTGAGCAACATCTATGACATGCAATTAACAATTAAAGGCGGAATCATGCTTGTATGCACTCAAAAACAAAACATTACCCATGAAATTCAAAGCCTAGTAGAAGGGTGAACCAAGACTTAACTCAAAACAAAGTGAGTTGAGAAACTTTATACCTTTGTTGATTCCTCTTTGCATAAGCAAAAGCTAATCAACCAAGGAGAGGGCCTTCATTCTTGCTTCTTAGATCCATGGATTTCTTGGATGAGGATGGTTGAAAGGATTCTCCAAGTTCCCAAAGTTAAGAACCTCTAACTTTTCCACACCAAGGATGGACTTAAAGAAGAGATAAGTGACCTTGGAGGAGGAAAGATTGCTAGCTAATCTCCTCCAAGGGGCCGGCCTCCTAGAGAGAAAGGGAGAGACATGTTCTCACCAATTTTCTCCAAAAGAAAACCCTAAGGATGAAATGTCTATAAAGTTGCCATTATACCACCTCACAATGGAGTGGCAAACTTGCAATTAAGCCAAGTTCACTACCCCTTTCTATATGGCCGGCCATTAAGGGTTCATTGGGCTTTCATGCCCTTTGTGTTTTCAAGTTGTCATACAACTTGAGTCAATGGGCTTGACATTCAAATCCCATTGGGCCTTGTGGCCCAAAACTAACCCAAGATCTTTAACGAACTTTATTCGTTTGATTAATTAACATATTAATTAATCCTTGCCATAAATAATTAAATCATTTAATTATCCTTACTCATCTCCGTTGTTTCTTCAATCTCTACCTTACACGGTGTACGATCCATTAGGTTCCTTTTAGTGAGGCAGTGGGCGATTAGAACTCTTTCAAATCGATTGTGAATTGAAACTTACTTTCAATTCTCCCTTTAGTGATTATACACGTTTAGGGCTTCCCCAAACCATGAGTGACACCTAGCAGTATGTCATGGTTACCCAAGCTAATCAGAAGAGGTGGAGAACCTATTCAATTTAGAATTACAATGCAATACGGTCTTTCTCTAATACAATACTCTTGACCACATTGTTTGGTTTGATAGTTTAATCATGT